TTTTTTTTTTTTTTTTTTTTAACACTAGGGATGATTAACCACTGGAACAGACTACAAAGAGAAGTGGTGGATTCGCCATCGCTTTCATTTTTAATGACTTCATTTTTTTCTTCTCAAAAAGGACAAACTCAAACACTTCCCATCAGTTATTTGCGTTAGATGATTTGAACCGAGCTAAAACCTGACATGTTATGAATTACCCCACTGCACCAGCCATTGCCATGAGAACTTCCATCTCTGTTGTGGCAATACTGTCCTTTTCCTCAACTTGGACACGGATAAGTAGAGAAACCCAACTCATAAATGGTGCAAATTCCACGGATTGTTTCCGGCAGTGAAGGACCAGCATGGGACTTGTCTGGTGAAGAATAAAGCTCGATCAGAAGTGACATTCTCAGAGTGCATTAGAGCATGATTTGCTTCTTCCTCAAGTGCTGGAGAGGGAAATTCACTTTTGCCAAGGCAGTGAGCCTGGTCCTCTGAGAGAAAAGGCACTTCTGCAAATTAAAAGGCTCATGAATGGGACCCAGATGTTCCAGGCAATATTGTTCTTCGTGATAATGAATTGCACATGCCTGGCACTCCCCACCAACGCTGAGGTTCCCGAGAACTTCTCAGAGAGGGACTGGGAACTCCCTTGCACAGGTGAGGAGAGTGGTTCACAGCATCATCCTGATGCTCCAACCCACCAGACTGGGGGTTGTGGTGCTGGGAAGCTCCGAGTCCCACACGTGAACGGAAATGGCTGGTGCTCAGCTCCCCTGGAAAGCAGGGGATGTTTTCTCCCAGGCAAGGAGGACACTGAAAAGCAGTGATCCCTTCTGAAAGTTTTGGCCAGGGTTACACCAGAACGAGGACCAGGAGTCTTGGAAACTAGTTTTCTCTTCCAGTCACTGACTCATGCTGTTAGACAGAGAGCTGCATCGTGTCCTTACATGATTAAAACTGTAAGAAAGAGGAGTTCTACTAAAGATCCTTCATTTACTACACTCACACATTGTGATGGTTTAGACCATCAGCTGAAAGGTTCTGCTGGCCTAGGAAGGAAGCACTTGCAGGTGAGTGGCTTTTCCTTGAAAATAAAACATCAGCTGAAATTCAGTCAAGTGATGTAAAGGGGAGCACCAGTCTTATGTGAGCTTACACACTGACAGGCTTTTAAATCTCTCCATGAAGGAGGTCTTGGTGTTTAGTAGCTGTCAAAAGAGCAACTCAAATGGCAAGGGGTGACTGGAGAAAGGAAAATAGGCACAGAATGGCATTGTGCCACTGTATAAAGGGGAATTATATTTGTCTTTAATACAGGGTGCAGATCTGGTCTCTCCATCTGAAGGTGTGAAGGAACAAGCAAGTGCCCTATGTTAACTTAAGTTCTAATTTTACAGACAGATAGTGACAGGACAAGGGGGAAAGGTTTTAAACTGAAAGAAGGTAGATTTAGATTAGATGTTGGGAAGAAATTCTTCCACTCTGTGTGGGTGGGCAGGCCCTGGCACAGGTTGCCCAGGGAAGCTGTGGCTGCTCCATCCTTGGAAGTGTCCAAGGCCAGGTTGGACGGGGCTTGGAGCAACCTGGGCTGGTGGAAGGTGTCCCTGTCCATGGCAGGGGGTGGAATGAGATGGCCTTTAACTCAAACCATTCTGGGTTTCCGTGTTTCAAACCAGGTAGCTGGATGGGAACTGGAAAAGGGGAACTGAGATGAGGGGAGGGTACAAGAGACAGTAACAAATACAGCGATGGCACAGATGAGGTGGACACAGAGAGGAGCATCTCTTTTATGGGGCCAAGTTAACTCTC